AATGTTGCATTATCTTCCGCTTTGGTTGTGGTGCATATCTAATTAAAATAGAGAGCGCTTGAACATGAGCTTTGAAGAGGAAGACACAGGAAGATTAAATGTATCTTGTTTGTGTGGAGTGAAACACAAAGGCACGTCACATTTTTTTTCTCATTTATTTAACTTTATAAGATTTCTAAGGTTTACATTATTACAGTTTAATGATCTTAAACAGACAGAAAAATACCCACAAAGAATGATGATAACAATAATAAAAAGAAGAGGAACCTGGGCAAGGAAGTGTACAGTGCACCTTAAGGAAAGCCTGCGCTGGATGTGATTGGCATAGACATTATTCCATCCTTGGTACCCTGCCGTTCCGGGATTATAGTGACGTCACGCTGATACCCCTTGCATGGGTGAATGCTAAAGAACTATAGAGCCACAAATAATAGCACAAGCAGAGTCCATATCTTGGAAGACTTACTTATCCTTTAAGCCTCCTTCAGCCAACATAACATTTTTTTTCACTTAATGGCGTTTAATTTAAATTTTTTTATCGGATCTAAAGGAGGGGATTATTCACTGATATAAAACAATCTGCAGCTGGTTCCATCCTAAAGTCTCCCTCCTTTGAGTGAAGTCATCTATTATTGAGCGCAAGGCCGTGTGTGGAAATGTGGGCAAGACGATGGATCTGAAGTAGAATTGGTTRCAATCGATCAAGGGTGAAGAATATTCCTGATGTTAACAAAGGAAGCAGCTATGTCTTTCTCGCAGTTTGGATACCCTTACAATGCAACTTCACAGGTAAGACATTTGCTTTTTATTTCTCTTTAGTATACATTCAAACTATTAACTATTGCGTAATTTCTTAATTCGTGTCATCACACGACTTCTCCTCAACTGGGAACACGGACAGACAAATTGGCACTGACAGCATTTTATTAATTCATTTTTTCTTCTTTTTTTGTTGTTAAATCAAATATCGATACACACTCGCGCGCACGTGTCCAATTACGCTAAATAATGAATGAACTCGCGTGCTTTTCTGATGACAATAGGAATGAATGTCACCTACGCTGCAAGGTGGATGGGACAGTTACACACAATTCTCATCTTCGGGGAAAAGCAAACAAACTTTTTTTTTAAAGAAGGAATTCGTCTTGTGAAGGGTAATTAGATTCATTTTAAAATCCCAACAGCAGATTTTTGAATGTTACTTAAGATGGAGCCATTCAAAAAAGAAAAAAGAAGAGTTTGAAGAAGTTCAGGTCGGTGAGGGGACAGGAGTTGTCCTTTAAACAAAAGTTATCCAACAATATTCGGCTAAATATTATTTAAAGTCCTCAGCAGAATAAGTGTGAATTGTTAAGAATGTTAATCTCATGAAGTTTAGGTTAGTTCGAATCAAACTTTTCTTTATGTGCGTTGCAATTAAAGTTTTATATAGGCTAAACTATATGGAGCGTTTTACTTTTTACGCACGATTTACGCACAACTTTATTTATTTATTTTTCTCTTATTCCTGTACTTTTTTAATGAAACCATAATATTAAGAATTATCTGAAAGTTGGCTTACCTTGAACTGAGACAGATCAAACGTTATTTTTTATAACAAGGCAAATAAAATTAAAGTACATTTAAGATGTTAATACCCATCACCTGTCACAATAAAAGTCTATCCGGAGCGCACAGAATCCACAGTCACTTCAGAGTTGTCACAGACATCCAGATGAGAACTGATTGACCGTCTCTGTCCACGATTCTCTTCATGCAGTTTTTCGTGTCGGCAAACCCCAGTTCCACTTGCTGCGATTCGATTTCCAGGTCGGTCTCTGACGGGACAGGCAGCTCTCAGACCGCCGCTGCCGCCGCTGCCGCCGCCTCCTTCTACTGCCCGTCCTACGAAAACCGGCTCCTGGCGAGCAGCCGCACGGAGCTGAACGCAGCGCTGGGGATGTACAGCTCTCCATACGCCGGAGCGGCCACAGCCAGCCAGAACTACGCCAACTACTTCCCCTACAGCACCGACCCATCCGCCATCTATTCCTCTCTGGTGGGTTTCCTCGATGCGCAAGGAAAAAAAAAAAAAAAAAAAAAAAAAACGGGAAGAGGGGGGGATCAGGTTGATCAATCAAGCAGGGTTTATCAATTTGTCTCCTACTGCAATCATATCTGCCTTGACAAGCCATTTTATCCAGCTGCCATTCTTATCATGTTCCGGTTAAAATGTTACCAGCCAAAATAGAGAATTTGCAACAAATTGACTAAACCCTCTGCTTCCTTCAATTACTGTTACCAGACTTTGAATAAAGTAACAATTAGAAATTAAGTTCAAATATATTTTTCTTTTAAAAAAGGTATGTCTAGAAGCTGATAATGTACAGAGTAATGCATATTTTGCTGTAGTGCTAAAAGTTTTCTGATTGTTTTGTAAGCTGCATTTTTTTAAGCTAATAATTATATTTTATCTATTTAATAATCTAAGTTTTGGCTAATTGACTATAATGTCCCAAAAAACACAAATAGGGCACAATCTTTAGACAAAATGCAACACTTAGATCTGGAAAACTTAACCAAAACATGATTAACAGAGCGATTGATTGCTCATTTTTTTATGTGGATAATTAGCTTGATTTTTACATTGTTTTAAATCTTATAACAAACTTTCTTTATTTTTCAGAACCCACAATATGACATCAAGGACAGCACAGGCACTTTACACTCTGGCATTGCTCAAACGGCTACTTACTATCCCTACGATCATTGTCTAGGACAGTACCAATATGACAGGTAAGATTATTATTATTATTATGTTCACCGTACATAAACCCACTAATAGAAAGACTTATTTAGAGGGAATTTGCCACACTTTGACCAGAGTTTAAAGTATAAACATAAAACACCTCGAATAAGTGAAACTGTGTACATTTCAGTCAGCTTCGACTGTCTCTGTCATGTTGCAGATACGGGACAGTGGATTTTAATGGCACTGCTCGGAGAAAGAATGCCACGCGTGAGACCACCAGCACTTTAAAAACATGGTTGTATGAGCACCGCAAGAACCCCTACCCCACCAAGGGTGAAAAGATCATGCTGGCCATCATCACCAAAATGACCCTCACCCAGGTGTCAACGTGGTTCGCCAACGCCAGGAGGAGGCTAAAGAAGGAGAACAAGATGACCTGGTCRCCAAAAAATAAGGCAAACGATGACAGGAAGGAGGATCTTAACAAGAGCGACCAAGACTGTGTCACCAAAGGTACAGTAATCATCTGTTCACTTTAGGTCAGCAGAAAGTTTCTTCTTTTCTGCTAAAGATAAATGAAGGAAAAAGTTGTCACATAAAGATGTATAAAATGTGAAACAAAATAAAACCTTTATTCCTTTCATTTAGCTTCTCCTGATTGCAAGGAGGAGAAGGATCTGCATCTGAGTGACTTGGAGGACATGGAAGAGGATGACTGTGACAAGCTGGACAGTGACTGTGAAAAGGTGGCAGCGGATGAGCAGGACCTCCACACAGCCATGGCGGTGCCTGGAGCACATCAGAAAAGAGACTGCAGTGCTGAGCTGCACCTGAGTTTAAATAACAGCTTCCACTCGTCACTCAGCTTTCCCTCTGCAATCAAAAGTCTCACCACCCTGCCCCCTCTCCCATCCGATTTCCTGGACCCTGGTGTGTCCAAGGCAGCCTCTCTGACCGGCCCATCAGCGGGGACAGTGTCCCTGTCTCATTTTGAAGCGTCAGACAAGCCACGGATTTGGTCTCTGGCTCGCACGGCAGCTTCGGGTGTCATACTGAGCCCCCAGCAGCATGGCTCGGAGCTGAGGACAGGAAGCTTAACTGGGGACTGCCAGCTGCAGAGCGCCAGACTTTCTGGGGCTCCCACTGGACAATGTGGGGCTACAAGGGCCCTCCATGATTCTGGCAATACTGAGAGCTCATTCCCTGAGGGCTCCTCCTTGCACTCCAAAGTTTATGGCACAAGCAGCTACAATCACAAGGGCCTTCAACTTCACAGTTCACCATACGTCACCGTCCCAGACACATGTCAGTACCCCAGTATTGAAGGTAGGACAGACCCTGACTTTTTGTTTTTAATTTATTTATTTTTTTAATTCATTCCAGAGCACAAACACAAATCATTTCACAATGCCATAACTACAGTAGTGGCCAACAAAACAGCTGCATCAAATGTATTTTATCGTTGTATCTGAAAAGATATTTTTATATGTAACAATGGAAATTAAGACTTTCAGCCAACTTGTCCTTGACACGGTTCTCTTGAAATCTGTTTTTACCTTGGTCCACAGAATTCTCTGGAGGCAAAGTGGAGATTCAGTCGCCCGACCTCAGTGAGGCCTGTGGGACCGTTCAGGATGACAAGGTCACTGCATTCAGACCAGTCATGAAGAGGTGAAGCAGGTGAGAGTCTGCAGTGAGCTAGAAGAAACACAAACACACAGAACCATTCAGACACACCCATACACAAACATGAAGCAAACTAATTCCAAAGGTGGAAAAAAAGGTTATTTTATTTAATAGTTAATTGTTTTTATTTCAAATAAATTAGCTTTTGGAAAAGTGGCAAATGAAAAGTTACTAATGCACATGTCAAAGGTCTTGTATTTCACWTAATAATAATAAATCATGTGATAAAATGCTCATATTCTGTTGCAACACACTTTGATTTTATAATTTGAATCTATATGTTATTTATTTATTTATTTAAACTTGCAGAACTTATTTTGTGTCTTTCTGTCTATTTTTTTCTCACAGGTTGATGAAGATTGAATTAAAAAAATAATAATAATAAAATCAAGACATTTCTTATGCACTAAAGGACTCAAAGACCGAATTGCTGCCTCAGTCGGACACAGAGGGGCTCCATCTGGCCCTGCTGCAGTGGAATGTGTCAAACTGCTGGACTGGACTGTCATTTTGCACAACATTGAATTTTAATGAAATTGAAATTTAAACATGACTTTATGCAAAACAAACAAAAAAAGAAAAAAAAAAGAAAAATGAGAGAAAAACATAAATTTCTAAATGCAAAATATTGGCCCAAATCCATGTGTGGCTAATATGTGGTGTAATTTTGAATGATCTTTGTTGTGTATTTATTATTTTGTTTTGTCGTCTGTTTGTTTGTTTTTATTTATTCATTGTGCTTATCAGTTGAATTTGTATTTCCTTTAAGTATTTTGATAATTGTTTTTTATTATCATTATAATTATCGTGTTTTTGTGTCATTCTGCCAAGTGTAAAACAAAAATTCTTGCTGGACTTCTAGCTGACTATAAAGGACTGGATCAGCTGTTTTGTGTGTAAATTTGGATGTTTTTTTGTCATTGTGTTAAACTGTGAAACCCACTTTTCTTTCCCTCTGTTTGCAGAGAATTTATAACAATACATTTTTTATAAGAGCATTTAGTACCATGTTATTTATAGAGTGTAAACCAACCAATTTTAAAACACTGGCAGATGTGGATTTGATCAAAGTTTCCAATCTAGACTGTATAAAATAAATAATAAAAAAGAAAATGCTGCAGCTCTGATGGAAGGTCATAATTCAGAGGAGGGACGTGAGTGAAATCCACAAGTTGTGGAAGAAAAGGGGACATCCGCTCTCTATTGTCGGCATCTAATCAGAAGTGGCATCAAACACTTTGTTACTGTTCGGGCCGAGCAGCGGGGGCAGGGACAGAGGATGAATGCAGCTTTTGTCCCCAGTGTAGTGAGCCGCTGCACTAACTTAATATTGTGTTAATTTAAAAGGTCATTTGTAGGATCAAACCCAGCAGAGAGGTTCACATGGCCCGTCAGAGGCCCTTTGATTTGGCTGTTTTGCTTTTGGACCATCTTGTTATGAGAATAACTCTTCCCCTCCTGCAGACAAGACACAGCCAGATGATCAGTGTAGTGGATGATCCATGTTGACATGCTAAGAAAGAAATATATAATAAATTAAATCAAATATTTCCAAAAGGGAGGGTGCAAAGTATTAATTAGGATATTAATATTGGCTACGACAAAATAATTTGTAACTTTTTTATTTATTAAACTTGATTATCTGAGCACTTTAAGTTGCAAAATATTATTATTGTTTTGTTTTTKTTTTTTTCATCTAAAAAGGAAAAGCTGGACATGGCTAAATCATGACGCAATATTAATTGCAAAATTACCCTTTTCATACTATTAGATATATCTTTGTTTTATTTTAACCTCCTGCCACTAAGCTATGCCTTAACGTTAGCAATAGTAGATTCAAGGTCTCTAAATAGATTTGACTCCGACTTGCAAACAGTCCCACTTAAATGTCTGTTCAGCTCATATTTGAGGGATTAAGCCAATATTAAAAGTATTTTCAGCGCAGTTCAGTCTCATTTCTGCTGGTCCTCTTGCGTATCTTTGGACAAAGAYGGCGCTGTCAGGAAATGCACAGAAACGCACAGATTAATGCTGGAGAATCTACACTTTGAGGAAGGTCAGTGACAATAATGTGGGTGTATTTGTAGTAGTTTCTCCAGTTTTATTCCTTCTTAGTGTTCAAATGTAAGCCAATAAATGAGCTCTTTGAAGTAAAAGGCAATCCTATAACGGTTTTGATGCAGGCATCCAAATCTCAATCGAATCAATTTTACCTTCTAGTCCAGGGGTGCCCGAACATTTTCCCTGAGAGGGCCAAAATGAAAATCTATCCAGGGCTGTGGGCCAAATGCATTTATATAATACATGAAATACAAATACTTTTTAAGTAAAGTCCTTTTTTTTAATGATCAAAGTATACAATGGCCCTCTTTTGTTTTAGTCTGTGCACTTGGATAAAGTCTGCCATACGCTCAAGTAGCAAAGGCTCAGGAGACATTTCATGAATTGATAAAATATGAGTTTTTGTGGCCTTATAAAGTGTGCAAATCTACATGTGGTTAAATCTGATCAAAATATTTCTGGTCATTTCATGTTCCATGTTTAATCCTAATAAATCAAAGATAAAGTCAGCACCATGAATGAAAACTACCTTCACTACAGCCCTTTTATATAGTCATTTGACCAATGGAAATATTGTGTTTCTACCTATAGGATAAACAGGTAAACTTTGGCAACTGTTGGTGGGCCAAATCAAATGGCTTGGTGGGTCAAATTTGGCCCACGGGCCCCACTTTGGGCTCCTCTGCTCTAGTCACATTAAAGTGGTTGTGTTAAAAAAAAGCACTGACACATTGAAATGCTGAAAGTAACGCTCACAGAAAGTAACCTGTGGGTGAAAAGAGGCTATCCTAGAACTCATGTCTGAACAARCAAACACAAGCGGTGTAATACAACCACCAAGGTAACAACACGCTCAGAAAACACGCAAAGAGGAGAAAAAATGACACTTTGAGGCAGCCGTGAGATCAGGCCTGRTCTGGACCAGCTGGGAACTGTTTCGACAGTTAGCACCCATGACTCCTAAATGCTCCACATTAAAATGTTTAAGTTGTATCAAATATTCAACACTAATTTTGATTAAATAGCAGGCTGTAAAGGAAAGCTGCCTTATGCTGTTGAAGGTAATGATGCATGTGCAATGGGATTTTAGCACCATGTCCATGTTACCTCGGGGAGAGCAAAGGCTATAATAATGTCTGTGATGGGCTCATATAGCAGCGTGTTCCTGGATCAGCTAACAAGTCAATTAAAATGGCCAATACACAATGTTTTATAAAGAGGATAGGCCATATATGTGGCTACAGCAGCTGCGCAAGCAGAGGCTGAAGTTTTTCATTTAAACATAAATGTAGTGAGAAATAGGAGAACTGATTTACTGACAGTGGAAGTAAGATCAGTAAACAGGCATTTGTTGTTGCTGGATGGAGGAGGGGTGGGAGGGGGTCAGGCACAAGATTTGCTATTTGTCTGACATTGTTTAATCTAAGGCGAGACGTGAAATCTGTGACAAACCACAATGTTTCAGAAAAAAATAAGTTACTTAGGTAGCCGATATGCACAACTAAATCTCCCTAATACAGTGCATGCCTTTCTCTTGGTAAATTACTTTTTTATTGTAGGGAGGATGGTGTGTGGCTGTGAGAGCGTGTTTTGCATAATCCAAAACAGATTTTAGATAATCTGTGAATGAGGCACAAATATGCAAAAAAAAAAAAAAAAGAAGGGGGAGAAATAAGCTATGATAAACATGAATACTTAAATTGGTTTGACAACTTTAATCTGAGACCATCCCTTGTATGTTCGCATTCAGTCTAATCACACACACACGCGCGCGTGCGCGCGCGCACACACACACACACACAGAGACACACGTACAACACCCCCTTCTTATATTGTCGTGCATCATTGATCTTTTTGGGCCAAGTTGCTGCCTGCACCATGTGCTCTTTTCAAGTCAGCAGGCCAACTGACTGTCAAAAATGACAGCTGGTCTGTTGACTCAAAGTTTGGCTCCGATGAGAAGTAAAACAAGACAATGACTTGTGATTAACTGTGATCTGCATTTTATACATGTTTTAATTATCTTTMTTTTCCTTTATGATATGTAACACATTTTCAGCCAGACTTTGAGTAATCTGAACTCCTAATATGTAACCATACATTAAMATTTTGAAAAGTATTAGCAAGATTTGCATAATATCTTCCTCTTGCATACATGTATGTAAACCAATAATTAAGGCATGCTTCAAGGTAGCTACCAATTTTTTTTTTAATTATGTGTTATTGTTTTATGGATTTTTTTTTTGTTTGCTTCAGTTACTCTTTCATGAAGAAACTTGCACCAGTCTCAAAATGACTGTGTTTTACAATGAAAAGCTAAAGGTCAATGAGGGGTTAACTCCTGACAAAGCACCGTCAAGAACATCTATCACATGTGTGCGCTTTTTGTTTATGCCCCCACTTAATGAGCATGTGCCCACCATGTAAAAGAATATGAATTATTATGACACTATATCAATGGTGCCTTTGTATGAAATAGGAGCCATAATAACAAAAACAACACCACAAACAATAATTTGCCCTCATGTCTAACGAAAGAGCCAGCATGGAGGTGCCATTTGATGTGTCCCACGCTGGGCAGCTAAGGCTCATAAAACAAAGTCTTTGTACCGATGGCTCAGGGTTCACATGAGGGGGACAATATACACAGTTCATTACATTTTGTCAAAAGGCGCAATGAAATGTGTGTGGGACATTGTTTCTGTGCATGTCTCTCTCCATGGAATGTCTGATTGCTAATGTTGCTACAAGGTCTCCGCTAATGAGTTTTGTCAAAGACAATTACAGAGTTGGTGAAATGGACAGAGAGGGGATGAAAAGCTGGCTTTGTGCAGTTTGGGTAGATGTTGCATCATGACCCCTGCTTCTCACTCTAACCTGCATTTGACCTCTGCTTCATGACCAAACATCCAGGCCTCGCTTTCATCATCAGTGACATGTTGAGCAGAAAGACCTGCCCCTGCTTCTTTTATGGATGCATACGTGCCCTCGACAACTTGAGGAAATTTGGAGCATGGTACAAAGTAATAACAGCGCTGCTGACATTTTCCCAGGGCCTAGCTTCTTTTGTGGACTTTCTTCTACAGTACGCTCAGCAGGTCTGCCGAGTGTGGGAATAAGGACTTTTGACCTGAATAACAAAGAGAGACAACAAATTTTGAAATAATCAAACAAAAATTTCACAGTTTACACTGAGCCATTGAGAAATTAAACCACAAAAATGCTCAATAATAAATACACGTTTTAAGCTGTAAACATGTTTTTGTTGTCAAAAATCTCAGCTGGTTCACAATGTTTGTCTTTGTACTGATACATTTTGCTTACTGACCCCTAGGTCAGCATCACCAACATCAGAATAATCTTCTATGCCATTTTAATGCCCTTTAATAATCCTCAGAATCTCATTTTTTAATCTCGTGCCCTCCTTCTGTTTTTCTTCCCCTTTCTGTTAGGCATCTGTTGGCCTTTAGTGTCTGCTGCTGAGTCCCATTTTGGCTTTTTTATAGGATATGATGTTTAATAATGGGATTGAATAGTGCTTACAAACATAAAATATAAAATAAAGCTAAGGGCCCATTATTTCTTAAAGAAATGCCTACAGTCCACCAACTTTCATGCCAGACTCCACCAACTTTCATGCCAGACTTTTAAACTAAGATAATCTTATACTGAGAAACAGCAAAGATTTTTTAGTCAAAATAGCTTGTGTAATATCTTGCAGTATTGATGTTTTCTGATAGCTTCATCAAAATTTGTTCAGTGTATTAAAAAAAAAACAACAACAACAGATAAATGATCATGCTCAGACATGAAAAAAAGACCATTATGGCCTGCTATGTTCCTTTGTGGTGGGCAGTAACCAAGCATAGGTTAATTATTTGGGTACCACTTTACAATAAGGCTCCCCTTATAAATAGTTTATAGATAGGTTATTAATTCATCTGTAAACACTTTACAAATTGTTAATAAGTGTTTATTATTCACTTAAGGACAGGAAAGAGACAAAACTGWCCGATTTCTTGCCAAATAGTGAGCCAAATGTGTTCATGTATATATCRC